TTGAACAAACTTTATAAGGTTGTATGCAAATAAATTGAGCATGCACCCCTAAAGCTAAACATAAAATTATAAAAAATAAATACGTATGGTTTTTGGAAACAAAACAATACCCATAATGAAAATTAAATGTACCTTAAGTCAATATATACTTAACGTGTAAGTTGATTGTTTGCTATACGGATGTTTTTTTTCGGTTGATGCAATATATCAGTTTTACGTTATCTTATAGCACGTTATATTGTCGATGTTTCTTAGCCTAAACAAATCTACAAAATGAATGTTTTTATTTAAGAATCCAGCTTTTCTTCTGCACTCTATTATAGGTAATGCGTGTGATAAATTGACTCGATTAGGTGGCACTTCGGGCTTCTGACTCTATTGAGCTTGTAAACGTTAAGACAATATACTGAAAAACGCATTGAAACCCTTGGTGTACGGTGTACAGCTCGGTTGAAATGTTGCGGTACCAGTCAGGGAATTCGCACACAGTTGATGGGTACCACGCAGGGAAGATGGGTACCACGGAGGGAAGATGGGTACCACGAAGGGGCGCGCATGATCTGACGGGTACCATCGAGCCACGTAGGTGACTTTTGACGTCAGCGGGCTCGATGTGAGTTACCCAGAAGGTAATTACCCTTTTATGCCGCGGCAATTTCAGAGTTGCACTTCTGATGAGCCATGAAGGTGGCGTGTTTCGGCATTCATGAATTGAAGCATTTGGTTGGATAAGGTGCTTCGTCAGTCCGTTCGAGAGCGCATCTAGTAACGCGTTTGATCTGGACAGAAGGGAATGAAGGTCCCGCTGTACCAATTATGTACAACCATGCTACCGTATGATGTTTGGAAGAAAGAACCAACAGTACCAGTACCAGTAGCTCCAACGCTGAACTGACACATCACACAACATAATAGCACAGTGCATTAATCATAACATAACGGACAGGGCAGTAAATGCGTATTTTAAGGCCCATATTTACAGGAGGTGTTAATCTGGGCCGACAAATCAGCTGTGGCCGTGCATGTCATCTCGATGCATGCTAGCCATCTGATTGTCATACACCTTCCAGTCGCCCTTCACTTGTACCGTCACACCAGCCGCAAACCCATGCGCTTGTGTTGATGCTTCTCCTGGGACCACTGCTCCTGTTGGTGCTGCTGGTAACGATTGCAGATGCATCGCTGGGTGTGTATGCTGCTGCTGCTGCTGTTGCTGCTGATGCTGCTGCTGTTTCTGTTGCTGCATTGGTGTGACTGAAAACTGTGAAGATGGTGTAATGCTCAGGTCACTAGGATGTTGCTGCATGGGGGGTGTATAATGCAGCGTGTGGTACTGCTGACCACTGTGAGGGGCCATGGGCATGGCATGCTCATGCATGTGCATACTCTGCCCGCCATACTCTCTCTGGGAGTACATATCTCCGTGCTGCTCCTGCTGCTGTGGCTCCTGAAGCTGCTGCTGCTGGTGATGTTGCTGCTGCTGCTGCTGCTGCTGCTGCTGCTGATGCTGCTGCTGAATAAATACATGTGCCTGTGATTGGTCCACTGCTGGTTGTGACAACAATGGTTGTTCCATGGGTGGTTTTTGCTGCATCGGTTGTTGTTGCATGGATGGTGGCTGCATGGGCATTTGTTGCACGGGTGGTTGTTGCATGGGTATTTGTTGCATGGACGGTGGTTGCATAAATGTTTGTCGCATGGGCGGTTGTTGCATGGATGGTTGTTGCATGGGTGGTTGTTGCATGGATGCTTGCTGCATGAGAGATTGTTGCGACACTACTTGTGTCAACACTGGCGGCTGCATGGGTGGTTGTGGCATGGATGGCTGTAGCACCAGTGGCGGTTGCATGGGCTGCACTCCCGCTTCCCTGCCTGCCCCAATCTGCCCCGGTTCCTGAACCCGCCTACTGCTGCTGCTTCTCAGAAACTTCGGAAGAACCAGACGAAGTGGTTTTGGCTGTGCCACCTCGTGTTGCTGCTGCTGCTGCTGCTGGGGCTGATACTGCTGCTGCTGTTGGTAGTGCTGCTGATGTTGCTGAACTGCTTGCTGCTGCGCTGCTTGTTGTTGCTGCTGCCAAGGTGCCAGACCCTGCTGAATCGGTGTATGCTGCTGCTGCTGCTGCTGCTGCTGGTAGTGCTGCTGATGCTGTTGCCACATCTGTTGCTGCTCATCACCCTGCCTCATCCTTCCCACACCACCCATCCTCTCCCTCTCCACCTCCCTCCTCTCCACCATCCCAGCCCTTTTCCACGCCTCTTTGTCCAATCCCATCGCGACAGCTGGCCCGGACCCCACAGTAGCAGGTGCAGCAGCTGCTCCTGATACAGCCGGCCCTCTTGGGAACGCAACAGCTGGCGCTACAGCCGGAGCCTTATTGGACACCACGTCTCCCAGTGGCCGTCTCTGCACTGCTGCTGGCCTTTGCTGTTGATAAACAGTCTCCGGTGCCTGCAGTGGCTGCAATGGCTGCTGTGTGTGCGGTTGGTGAATGATCTCTTGTGGTTGAAATGGCTGCTGCTGTGTGTGCTGCTGCTGCTGCTGCTGCTGCTGCTGAAATGGCTGCTGCTGTGTGTGCTGCTGCTGTTGCTGCTGAAATGGCTGCTGTTGTTGCTGCTGCTGCGGCTGAAATGGCTGTTGTTGTTGCTGCGAGTGCTGTTCGGTGGCTTCATGCCGTGACTGATACCATTGCTCTGGCGGTGCCTGCTGTGGCTGCTGTGGATGCTGAAATGGCTGCTGTGGCTGCTGTTGCTGCTGTTGCTGCTGAAATGGCTGCTGCTGTTGCTGATGCTGACGCTGCTGTTGTAATCGCTGCCGCTGCTGCTGCTGAAATGACAGAGTTGGCAGTTGCTGCTGTTGCTGCTGGTGATGGTGCTGCTGGTGTTGGTACTCTTGCTGTCGCTGCTGCTGTTGGTGCTGCTGCTGTTCCTGATACTGCAACTGCTGCTCTTGTTGCTGCTGTTGATTAGCATAATGGATACCCAAATGCTGCTGAAACGTCTCCTGCTGTTGTACCCGCTCTTGCATCTGCTGCTGCATCCCCTCCACAGGACCTCTCATCTCATCAAACCGCTCAGAACCACTTCTCACCGCATCAAACCCCTCTGTACCAGGTAAAGGGTCACTGGCTTCCGTCATGAGCTCATCAAAGCTGCTGCCCGCTGGTAGCACCACACACTCCTCCCTCTGAGGTAGGTACTGCTGGGGTGGGTGCTGCTGGTGTGGGTGCTGCTGGGGTGGGTGAGACTGTTGCTCAACTAACCTGCTGCCCGCTGGTAGCTGCCCAAATTGCGGTTGCTGCTGCTGCTGCTGCCTCTGATGCTCCTGACCTGGCAAAACTGCAAACTCCCCATGATGTTGAGTGTAATGCTCCTGCTGGTACAGCTGCTGCTGCTGGGGATGCTGCTGTTGTTCCCCCTGCTGGAAGTACTGCTGCTGCTCAAAAGGTTGCTGCTGCTGCTGCTGCTGCTGCTGCTGATACTGCTGCTGCTCTAAATGCCGTTGCTGCTGGTCATGCTGCTGCTGATACTGCTGCGGCTGCTGCTCCTGCTCCTGCTCCTGCTGCTGCTGATACTGCTGCTGCTGGTATTGATACTGATATTCCTCTTCCATCCTCCACTCCACCTCACCACCTCCTCCTCTTCCCTCCGTCCCAACAGGCATCTCCCCTTCCATCCCTAGCCCCTCCTCCTCTGAAGCCCTAAGAGTCATCTCAGAAAGGTGCCGCTGCATGTTACCACCTTGCCACCCTCCCCCATTGTGCCCTCCAACACTCTCTCTCCTTTCCATCCCTAGCCCCTCCTCCTCTGAAGCCCTAAGAGTCATCTCAGAAAGGTGCCGCTGCATGTCACCTGCTAGCAACCCGCCCACACGCCCTCCCTCTCTCATGTCACCTGCTAACAACCAGCCCACACCTTGCCCTCCCACGCTCTCTCTCCCCTCCGTCCTTGCACCTCCCACGCTCTCTCTCCCCTCCGTCCTTGCACCTCCCACGCTCTCTCTCCCTTCCAACGCTGCGGTTGACGATACCTCCTCTGTTGCACCAAGCTGTGCTGGCAGTGGCACCCCAGAAGCACTTACACTGGTGGCCCCAGCGGCACTGACACTGGTGGCGCCATATGTACTCACACTGCTTGTCCCACTCTCCTGCACCCACTCGTGCTGCTGCTGCTGCTGCTGCTGCTGCTGCTGATGCTGCTGCGGTGGCTGCAGTCGCCAATTGCTGCTCCATCCACCAGCATGGAAAAGCCCTCCACTCGCTGCTGCTGCCGCTTCCCCTGTGCTGCCCTGCTCTGGCTGCAGTGGCTGCTGCTGCTCCAGCGGCTGTGGCTGCTGCTTCTCCAGCGGCTGTGGCTGCTGCTTCTCCAGCGGCTGTGGCTGCTGTTGCAGTCGCCAATTGCTGCTCCATCCACCAGCATGGAAAAGTCCTCCGCTAACCCTCCCAGACCCACTGCCGCTGCTGCTGCTGCTCCCAATGCTGCCGCCCCTCCTCATCCCCCAGTGAATGCGAGCAGGCGGCAGCACAGGCGCTTTCCCTGACCCCAGCCCTTGCCCTTGCTGCTCCGTCTGCTGCTTTGACTGCTGCTCTGCCTGCTGCCCCACCAGCACAGGCGCTTTCCCTGACCCCAATCCTAGCCCTTGCTGCTCTCTATGCTGCTCTGCCTGCAACTGCAACTGCTGCTGCTGCTGTTCTGCCTGCTGCTGCTGCTCCTGCTGCTCCTGCTGCTCCGAATACTGCTGCTCTTGCTCCCACTGAGCCAGCATCTCGGGCATATCCTCGTCTCTCTCCCCAACGAAAGCTGACCCTGCAGCAGCAGCAGCCGCCGCACCGGTAGCAGCGGCAGCAGCAGCACCAGCAGCAGCTATGGTACCAGCAGCAGCACTGGTGGCAGCGGCAGAAGCAGGAGGAGGAGGAGGGTCAGCAGCAGCAGCAGCAGCAGCAGCAGCAGTGCCAGCAGTCACGGGCTGAACGAGAGGAAAAGGAGGAGACGGAGTACTGAGCTCAGTGCTGCCCCTACCAGACCCGTGAGGTGTATTTTGAGGCGCCTCAACATACACCTCACTGCTAGCAGCAGTGCCAACAGTCACGGGCTGAACGAGAGGAAAAGGAGGAGACGGAGTACTGAGCTCCGTGCTGCCCCTACCAGACCCTCCTGACCACCCTCCAGTTACTCCAATCCTTTCGCCCATCCCTTCACCAATCCTTTCGCCCATCCCTTCACCAATCCTTTCGCCCATCCCTTCACCAATCCTTTCGCCCATCCCTTCACCAATCTTTTCGCCCATCCCTTCACCAGTCCATTCCCCAAACCCACCAATCCGTTTGCCCAATTCGCCTGTCCAGGATTCCTGCCTGTTATCGCCCTCCGTTCCCTTTGCCTCCTTATAGAGTTCCCCGCTACTGCTCATCAGCCTTCCTGAACCTCCCGTCCTGCCTGCCCCACGGCCGCCCGAGCCACCTGCCGAACCATGCAGAGGCCCGGACCTGGCTCGGTATCTCAGCCTGCGTTGCCCCGGGCCAGCAGGCTCGGGCCCCGAACCTGCACTAGCAGACGCAGCACCACCACCCGCAGTAACTGCTTCCACCGCTGATGACGTGTCCGAGCCTGCTGACCCAGCAGTGGCTGCTGATTCAGCAACAGGGCCTGCTGACTCAGCAGCAAGGCCTGCAGACTCAGCATCGCCCATCCTCAGGGGGCCAGATCGGGACCGCAATCTCTTGCTGCTGCTGCTGCCGACCAGCCTATCCACTTCTGCCACGTCCCTCAGTGCCTGAATCAAATCCATCTTGGCTGGGTCTCTAACGCCCTGTTTTTCCATAAGGAATGAGAGAGGGCCTAGCAGTTGCTGGGATGGGACAGAGGATTGCTCTTGCTGCTGCCCTTGCTGCTGCTCGTGTGCATGCGGCTGCTGCTGTGGCGGTTGCTGCTGCTCCAGCTTCTGTTGCCGCTGTTGCTGCTCCTCCTGCTGTTCCTCTTGCTGCACCGGCCGTTGCCCCTCCACCCCAACTGTCCCCACTGCGCCTATCACACTTCCCCAACCCGATGTCGATTGTACGGGTGCCTCAGAAAGCGTACGTTGCCCCTCCAGCTTCACAGGCACCCCTGCGCCCGTCCCACTTCCGCGTCCCGCTGCCTTTTCCGATGCTCGTCTGGAAAACGCCGCCGCTATCGCTTTACTAAGCATACCGCCAGCAATACTGGCGGGTTTCGCGGAAGCTGCGCGGGACGAGGAGGAGGGGGCGGAGGAGGAGGAAGAGGAGGCGGAGGAGGAGGAGGGGAAGAAGGGGAATGGGGAGGAGACGCCTGGGCGAGGGTGGTAGGCGAATGAGATGGATATTCGGGCTGTACTCGGTATAGCGCGGCCCTCGTTGTCTACAGTGGTGAGCGGAAATTCTTGCTCGCCTTGCTTCTCTAAAGCGTCTCTGTTGGGGGGGAGGAGGGAATGGAAAGAAAAGGAGTAAGGGGAGGTCGAGGGATGTGGGGGGGAGGTGAGGAGGCGACTCGAGGAAGTTGGGGGGAATACACGAACCCTTCAAAGACGAAGAACGATAGTAACATCCTCAAAATTCGTGCTCATCTATTCACTCGTGCACTAAATACCTTAACGGAATGTACACAAACGCGAGCAGCTGGTCCTCCGTGGTGCCTCGGTGGTGGCTGGCGAACCAAACCTCGCATTTAACCTCGGTGGCACGCTCGGGAATCCCAACCTGCAGGCAGGTACGGGAAGGCAAAAAGAAAAGAATACATGTGCATGAAAAAATCGTACAGCAAAGAAAGATTGAAAAACAAGGGAGGGGGACGAGGTGGAGGGGGGGGGGGGGGGGGGGGGGGGGGGGGGGGGTGGGGGGGTTTGGGGGGAGAAGGGAAGCAAGACGGAGTTGATTATTCTAAAAGACTTTGTTGTACTACCTGTAGCCGTCGATCAAAAACTGGGTTTACCTGCAGCCGTTGATCGAAGACTGGGTCCGTGCCTCCTCCCTTGATCGCCCGCGTCGTGAGTGCGACTCGTCCGAGCGGGTCCCGATCACCGCACAGCACCTTGGCGTACACATCTTGAGCCCCGAGTGTGGACCGATTCGGTAGTCTCTCAGCCTGAAGGATATGCACATCGAGAATACCTACTAATTGCCCGCCTTTTCTCGCCATGTCGCTTTATTCAATAAGGCGTTTATTCAGATCGTCTTTCTCAGTCGTGATTTATTCGGTGAGACCACTATCGTCCCTCTCTGCCATGCCGGGCCTTACGGACACGAATAAATATTACTCGTAGTGTTCACTAGCCTCGAAAAGAAAAACGAAGGCCGGCAAGACGTTTAATCAGTCTCAGGATTTTCCGCGACGATATTCCGCGACAGGATAATTGCTAAGCTCGTGAACTGGGTAGCCATAAAAACACGCGGAACACGGATCGTCGTAAGATTTCGATGTGGACACTTTAAGAAAAGGGAGGAAGTAATATAAATACGCAGATTATCGAAAGACGCGCTTCTTCGAGAAGAGATCGCGACTAAATAGACGGCGGCGAAGACTTGGAGTTGCTATAGCTGGAATAGAAAAGCTTCCCAAAAGTCGTTTAGCAGAGAAAGCTTCGAATCCAAAAAGGTATGGGCATCTACGGGTGCAGGCGTGAGACAAGCAGACAAGCTCAGCCGAAACACCATGGACAAATGAATTCGACACGCTTTCTGGTTTCGAGCACGTTTGACATCGAAGCTGGCGAAGCTGCGAGCTGCAGAAGAGACTAAATACACGTGTATCTGAAGCCATGGTGGTGTCGAGATTCCTGGAGGGAGGGATGATGTCCGTGCGCGTGCACGCAAGCTTGGGCGGGAAGAGTCGACTCGGAATAGTTGCGTGTGATAGGGAGGGAGCACAGCAGAGTGGGGTGTGTGTAGTGGAGGAGAACGAGACACTGGAGGAGAGCAGAGCAGACAGAAAGACAACCTAGAGATTGGGTTGGGGGTGTGTGGGGGGTGCAGCTGGTTGAGTCGAGGTGATTTTGGTTCGGTGGAGCAAAATCTGGGACAGAGGGTTGAGTTACGGGGTACGGATAGGTTTAGAAAAGGTCTCTTTGGTTCGGAGATGGTTAGGGCTAGGTTGGGATATGGGGGCCGACCAGGAGAACAGTAATTTGAGACTTCAGAGCCCGATGGGCTTGAGCCGAGTCATTGTGGTTTTGGTTTGGGGGGGAAAGCCCACCAGACCAGAATCCAGACCAGAAGTCCCGACTCCCGAAGCCCTACACTCGAAACTGGCTCAATGTGAAAGGACAGTGTGAAGTGTTCAAGAGAGGTATGGCGAACTGGCCGGGCAGCATCGCACGGTGGTGGTGAGCATCGAGCGGCAGGGGCAGATGAAGGAGCGGCTTCGAGTGCGTTTGCTGGCGACGGCGGAAGTTCATCCGCGCTGAGCGATTTTCTCTCGGCGAAATCGTGGGTTTTGTTTAGCCCTAACCCAGACCAGCACATATCAACCGAACCAGGAGCAAACAACCATCACCCAGCCACCACAAACCAGATCGTGGTTCGTGCTCAGCACGGTCCAGCAGAGACGCGCTGCGTCCGAACTTACCGCAAATTTTATAGAGCCAATGAAAAACATTTAGGCTGACCATTTCCTCACGGAGTTTACGACCTTCCTCGCACCCGCCTCCCTCACATCAGACCCCTTTTCCCAAGGAACTTCGGCTAGGAGGACCAAAGTTCGGTTGCGGGGGGAAAGTTTTGGCCGCTTAACAAAAGTTTTGGCCGTCACTGCCGTAACTCCACTGGGGACCGATTTGCTTGTCACTGCGCGTTCGGCATTCTGCTGACTGGAAGCCGTCAAAGTGACTGCAGTCAGATGACTGCCACGCGACGCCGCGAGGCTTTCAGCAGCGCTCGTTTGATGGTTTCACCGAGCCTCCTGACTTGACGGCAAAGTCAGGCTCGGTAAAAGCCGTGGCGACGAGACTCGGCTGACGCGACACGAACCCTGTCGAAGTGGTCGGCGAAAGCCACTTATGTGGCAAAACTCGGAATCGACGCGACCAAAACCACTGGGGATGGGGTTTGTGTCGGTGAAAAGTTACCTGCGATAAAGGTGTTTTCGTTTGCGCGATGCACCAACACCTGAAACAAGTTCCACACTACTATACCGTGCATTATTCCTCTCCACGTTTTATTCCCCCATTGCATTCAATTTGCCGTTCCTTCGCGTAGAGCCATCCTCAAGATTATTCTTCCCAAAATTGTCCGCTCTTTTCCCCTTGCCAACCCTCAAGGGAACCTAACCTACACTATAAGTTCACCAGTTGAGCTTCTGAGGCGGCAACTGATTGTGTATTGCTCTCGGCCAAACACAGAGCTCCACTTGTACAAGTTGGATCGACAACAACAGAGTGTTACTGCCACGGAGAGAAGGATGTGGGGCGTATGATCTGCTTACTAATGAGCCTAAGGTCTGATGGTACATGCTTTGCTGTAACAACACAAGAGTTACTAGCCTGCAGCAGATGGTGGAGCAAACGACCAGAGACAAAGTGGGGACAGGGAGGCAAAACATATATGAGAGAGTGAATAATTATCTAATCATAGCACGACAAACACAACCCAAAATCAGGTGTTTCCATAGGGAAAACGGCACAAAAAGGTGCTTAACTAGAGGCAAGACACCTTCTGAACTACCAAGACAAATAAAAGCAAGAGAGGGAGCCGAGGCGACTTTGACTTAGCCGGCAGGCACAGATCAGGGCTTCAACGAGAGCACTATACAGCAAAAGGGAAAGCAGCAAACGAGAGACAGAGGGATGGGAGGCGAGAGGAGCCATAGAGGAGAAGTGTGTGCGACATCGCTAGGGCCGCCAATCACAGAGTGTGATGATGATGGGTGCCCCAACCTTATCGTCCAGCTAGGTGAGACGACTTTTTACGTGCATACAAATCACAGCTCTAGAGAGGCAATCAGAGTGTATTGAAGGGTGCCCCAACCTTATCGGCCAAGTAACAGTCGGTGGTGCTGCTGTGCTGCCAATCACAGCTCTAGGGCCGCCAATCACAGCTCTAGGGCTGCCAATCACAGCTCTAGGGCTGCCAATCACAGCTCTAGGGCCGCCAATCACAGCTCTAGGGCCGCCAATCACAGCTCTAGATCATGCCACCGACAGAGAGTGTTGAAAGGTGCACCAACCTTATCAGCCAAGTAGCAGTCAGTGGTGCTGCTGTGGCGCCACAGCTCTAGGGCACTGTATGGCCTGAAAGCAAGGGTGGGGAGAGTGGGGAAGCAGCAAGGTCAGAGTGTGATAGAAGGTGTGCCAGCTTGTCGACTCAGTAGCAGTCAATGATGCTGCTGTGGCACGAGAGTGAACAAAAGCAGACATGGAGATGAGAGGGGAGAGAAGATGAGTGTTAGAAGGGTGCGCAAGCGTGTCGGCTACAGTCGGAGGGTCAGTCGGCTAACGGACAGTCGCTGGTGCTAGGGTGGTGCCACAGCTCTAGGGCACCATGTGGACTGCAAGCCAGCAAGGGTAATGTGAGTGGGAGTGAGTAACAGTCACAGGAGAGTAAAAAGACAGGAGGTCAGGAGAGAAAAAGCATGAGAGAAAACACAATTTTGATAGAGAACAAATAAAGGAGCAATCATGGGAGCATAGTTTGGCATCAAAGAAGCTCCTAACGAGGCATAGAACGGGTCCAGAAACACATTTAATGTGCGTGACAGCTCGAAAATGAGCATTTGTAACAAGCTGATAGTAAGCTTAATCGCATTCCATTAGTACGACCCTGGAAAAGCACATTTCACAAGTGTGACAGGTAAAAGTGTGGAATGTTGCCCAGCATCAGAGCAGCCAATAAAGAGGCAGCAAGAGGAGGGACCAGGCGAGTCGAGAGTTGTGGAAGTGCAAGCTTGCACCCAGCAATTCCGGAGTCAACTAAGAAAACTTTTGAGGCACCTTTTGAGGCGCCTCAAAAGTGGGACCAGGCGAGTCGAGAGTTGTGGAAGTGCAAGCTTGCACCCAGCAATTCCGGAGTCAACTAAGAAAACTTTTGAGGCACCTTTTGAGGCGCCTCAAAAGTGGGACCAGGCGAGTCGAGAGTTGTGGAAGTGCAAGCTTGCACCCAGCAATTCCGGAGTCAACTAAGAAAACTTTTGAGGCACCTTTTGAGGCGCCTCAAAAGTGGGACCAGGCGAGTCGAGAGTTGTGGAAGTGCAAGCTTGCACCCAGCAATTCCGGAGTCAACTAAGAAACATTGCAGAGGAGAACGTTACCCGGCATCAGAGCAGCCAATAAAGAGGCAGCGAGAGGAGGGAACAGCTGCCATGCGTGCAGAGAGGCTGTGAGAGAGGGGAAGGGCAGGGCAGGAGTAAGAGGGAGAGGGATGCAACGGGGATGATTGAGGGATAACGAGGCAGCGAGAGGACGGAGCAGCCGCCATGCGTGCAGAGAGGCTGTGAGAGAGGGGAAGGGCAGGGCAGGAGTAAGAGGGAGAGGGATGCAACGGGGATGATTGAGGGATAACGAGGCAGCGAGAGGACGGAGCAGCCGCCATGCGTGCAGAGAGGCTGTGAGAGAGGGGAAGGGCAGGGCAGGAGTAAGAGGGAGAGGGATGCAACGGGGATGATTGAGGGATAACGAGGCAGCGAGAGGACGGAGCAGCCGCCATGCGTGCAGAGAGGCTGTGAGAGAGGGGAAGGGCAGGGCAGGAGTAAGAGGGAGAGGGATGCAACGGGGATGATTGAGGGATAACGAGGCAGCGAGAGGACGGAGCAGCCGCCATGCGTGCAGAGAGGCTGTGAGAGAGGGGAAGGGCAGGGCAGGAGCGAGAGGGAGAGGCGGACAGGGAGGGAGCGAGAGGGAGAGAAAGGCAGGACCGGGAAGGGCGGGGCAGGAGTGCCTGCCCGGGAGAGGCAGGAAGAGATGCAACAATTGAGGGATGAAGAGGCAGATAGAGGGTGGATACAAGGCTTGTCCCTTGAAGCATCGTATGAAGCATCGCAGCTCATACGAGCGGGGGGACGGTGGTGGTGGGAATGATGGTGGTGGTGATGGTTGGGGTTGATGATGGTGCTGAAGCTACTTACTTTATAGAAAATGTTTCCTGGATGCGGTGATTGGTAATGTGAAATGAGTGAGTTTTTGAGTTGAGACGTCTCAAAAGCGTTACCTGGATGCTGTGACTGGTAATCGAGCTCCAGGGCCCGCCGCGAGGTGATTTTTGAGAAGGTGACTTTTGAGTCGGTGACTTTTGAGTCGGTGACTTTTGAGTCGGTGACTTTTGAGTCGGTGACTTTTGAGTCGGTGACTTTTGAGTCGGTGACTTTTGAGTCGGTGACTTTTGAGTCGGTGACTTTTGAGTCGGTGACTTTTGAGTCGGTGACTTTTGAGTCGGTGACTTTTGAGTCGGTGACTTTTGAGTCGGTGACTTTTGAGTCGGTGACTTTTGAGTCGGTGACTTTTGAGTCGACTGAAAAGGTGACTGGTGGTAGTCGAGCTCCAGGGCCCGCAGTGCTACGTTGGCAGATACGAGTATCACGTTTTATACGCCAGCGTATTATACGCTGGGTATATACGCGGTACGCCAGGGGTGGCGTACTGGTGATACGTAAAAATACGCTGGGCGGGCAGGTAAAACTTTTTTTCCCGGGCAGGGCTAAAAAAACCTGTTACAGGGGGGGGGGGGGGGGGGTTATGTTTCCCAAAAACACGTCATAATTTAATTTCATAAATATCCAAAAATACATCTTCGAGGCTACTTCTCCCCACCCCCCATACATCCCCACCCCACCCTCTAGCTAGCTTCCCCACAGCCGAGTTCCTTGCGGGGCTTTTCCAACACCACCCCTGCCCCATACTCATCCGCCAGAACTGCATCCTCTCCTTCCCCCCCCAGCAGGTCATCCTCCTCCTCCTCGTCCATGTTGTAGCCGCGAGGGATAGGGGCATCCGGGATGTTACCGGGGACAACCGTGCTGCCCCCATCCTTCTTGTACCAATTGCGCACAACGTTCCAGTTGTGCGCAATGTAGACGAGGTCCGCACACTTGGCGGACCCAAGCCGGTTGCGGCGGGCGGTGTGGACGCCTTCCCACTGTGCCCAGCCACGTTCGCATGGGGAAGCCGAGACGGGCTGAGTGAGCACCCGGCATGCGAGGGTGGCAAGCTCAGGGTACTCGGTGCTGTGCCACGACCACCACTGCACCATGCTCATCTCCCCCTTCTTCACTGCCTCCCTTGCAGAGATGGCGGCCGGCGTGCCAAAGCTGCCCTCCATGTTGATGTAGGCCAGCAATGCCTCCTGCAGAACAAGGGAGGCGCGGCGAGGGGCGCCATCCTTGCCACGCCTGAAGGTTTTGTTGTCGTAGTGGCGCTCGATGTAGGCCTTGAACACTCGAGTGCACTCCACGTCGTTCCTGAAAATTCCCTCCACCTGGTTGGCCGGATTCAGGATCCGGCCAACCACATGCATGGGGCAGGCAAGTGAGTTGTCCCACCTGTCCTTCACAATCTTGGTGATATCAGCCTTTTCCGCCCTTGTCAAATAGTCCCCTGCCTCGTCGAACTTGTCATTGATGTCCTCGGTAAGTTGTAGCATGATATCATACATCTTACCCATCATCCCCTTCGCCGAGGAGTCCGTGGCCCGCATGGCCTTGTACGGCACCGCCATGAGAGAGGTAAAAAACACCGCCAGCCCCCACCACTCCTCATCCATCACGGCAGCCCTGAACTTCTCGGCTGCAGTCTTCCTGTCCTCGTCCGCCACTGCCCACTCATTCCACTCGTCGCTGAGAACCATCTGCGCCAGCCCACCCCGCACCTCGCACAGCCGGGACAGAGCTATGTACTGCATCCCGAACCTGGTCCCCGCGGGCTTGAGCACCTGTTTCCCCCCACCCTTCTTCATGTAAGCACGGGTGAAGTGGTGGTTGCGCACAAAGGTAATCATCATCCCCCCCTTCTCCACGAGCCCCTTCGCCCATCCCATCTTGCCCACGTCTTCCATCATCAGGTCCAGGACATGCGTGGCACATGGCACATGCTCAATGTGCGGCCATGTGCTCGCAATCTTCTTGGCTGCCGAGGCATAGTTGCTGCCGCCATCAGTGCAGACCGCCACCACATTCTCCGGCCCCACCTTATCAATGACGGGGCGGAGAAGGCTGGCGATGTACCCCCCGGTCTTCGACTCCATGTTGCAGTCCACCGCCTGCTCGAACACTGCGCCTGAGTCGTTGACAAGGAGCACGTTGGCCTGCGGGCGGCCACAACGGTCAGTCATCATGTCCGACGACACGGTGACCCCGTCCCGCTTCCAGCTGGCGGCAACGGGGGCGAGCGCCTCCTCCATTTTCTGCCGCACCTTCTTCAAGCCCGCCCCTCCAATGTAGCGCCTGTTGGGGGGGACGTACCCCGGTCCAGCGCGCGCAAAGCACTGGACCGCGTAGCGGAAGACCGGGTCATCCGCGATGCGCTCGGGAAGTCTTAACGCCGCGATCAAAAGGCAGAGGGCGTTATCCGCGTCCTCCTTGGCGCTCGTCGCCTCATCGCTGAAGAAGGACGTTATCTTCCCCTTCTTCTCTGAAGAACCAGTGACCGCGCCCAGCGCGGAGTCAATTGCTGCAGCGGCCGCCCCTCGTTTGACGCCCTGCTTCTCCACCTTCTCCTCGTACATGCCGCGCACTTCTTCACTGACTGCCGCGGACACCTTCTTGCAAAGCCGGACAGCGCGTTTCTCCTGCCCTTTCCATTTCGCAAGGTGAATCGCGCAGCGATTGGTTCCGCCCTCAAACGTGAAGTCACAGAACTTACACATCTTGGGAGTGCCTTTAGTATGGTACGGAATAAGAAAATGTTTCAGAATGGGGTTCGAAAGGCCAGCCTCGACAGGCTCCGTATTGATTGCGCCATTAGACGCGTTAACAGATCCAACATTGCTCGTCGCAGTAGGAGGGGTGGAGTTAGACGCCATGAGGACGAACGGGAGAAGAGAGCTACGGGAATAAAAACGAGCACCGCAATTGAATGAAACAAAGGAACTTGTCATCCATTATATGAGGAGACGAGTTGCTGAACAACATTTGAGAGGGATGGTTGGAGATGAGAGGTTTGGTGGGGTGGTGTGTGGTTGGGGGGTTGGAAGGTTTGGAACTCGAATTTTGAATTTCAGAACTGGGTTGGGCGATGTGCGACTTCGCGGTAACAAATCGCGAAGTCGCAAAACCTTCGCGAAATTTTTCAATGTCGTTTTTTTTTTTTTTGACGGTCTGCTCGGGCGTATTTCCAAGAAATACGAGCGTATTGGCGTACCACGTACATACGCCAGCGTATGTACGTGGTACGCAACCCTGCTCAGGGCGTATCTGCCAACGTAGCCGCAGTGTCCCCTGTAACAACGCAGCTCTAATGGTGGTGGTGGTACGGGTGCTGAATCCTTCCTAACGTTACTTACGTTAAAGAAAATGTTTCCTGGATGCTGTGAGTAGTGCTAGGGCTCTCAGGCTCCCCTCGTGCCTTGTAGCAACGGAGCTCATACACCCCGGGGGATGCTGGTGATGGTTCAAGTGGTGCTGGTGGTGAAGGCGATACTGATGTTGGTGAAGCGGAGGAAGAGGTTGAAGAGCTTGCTGCAGCCTCTGCCACTGCAGCCATGCACTTGGAATCTTCCAGGAAAATGCTCGATTCCTACAGCCCAGAAGCATATGAGAGCAAACGGGGGAAGAAGAAAAGACATGGAGGTGGCTCCATATGGACGTGGGAGACACTCCATATGCTTCTTGGCTGGAGGTGGAGGCCAAGAGACGATTTTTCTTCACTCCAGCCAGAATCAAAAGCCACAGCCACAGCCACAGCAACTACACTTGCGAGGCCCCTCAAAAGACGATTTTTTTAGGCACCTCAACAGTCGTAAGAGTCACAGCCACATCAGCCACAATTGATCCAGAACAACAACCCTTTGAGGGCTTTTTTAACCCAAAAGTCGAGCGAGAGAAAGATAAATGACAATGAGCGGCGGCGAATGAGTCACAGTAAACCCAAGCTTGCCCGGCTACCCAAACTATCCCAGCTGCAACAGATGGAAGGATTACAGGGGAGAATCGAACAAGGCCCAACAAGTATGGCAAAAGAACAGTCAAGTCGACTGCATCGTCACCAGTGACTGAAACGCCGGCTTTACAAGAGGGAGGTACTCCTGAGCCCACTCGCTGCTGTTCCCCATGCCTGCTGCGTATTGAAGTGAGTCAGGAATGCTATCCATTCGACCACCCTGGTGAGTGGGTTCACTCTAATGCCCCCCCACGGCCTTACCTGCGATTGGAATGCTGGCTTCACCAGAGGCAGGTACTCATGAGTCCACCCCCTGCTGCCCGCCATGCCTGCTCTCACTGCGTCCCTCTCCTCCCACCCGCCTGTGTGCGTCAAGGGGGAAGGGGGAAGGAGGAAGGGGGAGGAAGGTGGTTCTAAGTCCTCCCTACTTCTTAAGCTGTTATGAGACCACCCCCTGCTGCCCGCCATGCCTGCTCGCACTGCGTCCCTCTCCTCCACCCGCTTGTGTGTGTTGGGCGGGTTGGCAGGGGGAAGCAGGAGTGAGGAGAGCGGAATTTGGAGTGGACTCAAAAAGAGGGGGTGACTTTCGAGTCCACTCCCTGCGAATGTAACCAGCAGCTTTGACAGGTTACCAGGGCTAGAAGTGGGTACCATGGTATCAGTAACAACTGGCATCAAAGTGGAGGTAAAAATGGTTACAAGAGTAACAATAGAAGTGGATAACAGAGTAACAATAGAAGTGGTTACCAGAGTAACAATAGAAGTGGTTACCAGAGTAACAATAGAAAATATTACCAGGATAGCAGTAGAAATGATGCACCTCGTTCAGCACTCCTCCAGTCTCCACCGTCCAAAAAACTGATGGGGGGCGGGTAGGAGAGGAGTAGAGAGGAGTAGAGAGGATTAGAGAGGTGTAGAGAGGTGTAGAGAGGTGTAGAGAGGTGTAGAGAGGTGTAGAGAGGAGTAGAGAGGAGTAGAGAGGAGTAGAGAGGTGTGGAGAGGAGTGGAGTGGGGGGGAGAGAAGGGGAGAGGTGATGCACCTCGTTCAGCACTCCCCCAGTCTCCATGGTCCAAAACTGATGGGTGAGGGAGGAGGGGATGCAGAGGGGAGAGGAAAGGAGGAAAGAGGAGGGAGGGGAGGGGAGGGGAAGCGGAGGGGAGAGGTAAGTAGAGGTTCAAAGGGAAGCCATTGCCAACACACCAGTGTCCAAGCACTACCCAAGAAATGATCCCCCTCACAATTCATCCCCCATGCCCGTGTACCACCCCTCTTAATCACTCCAACCGAACACAACCTCGCATCGCTCCCCAATTCCCCCTACCGCCTAATCCCCCATCTTCCATCCCCCCTTACTTCCCCCCTCTCCCTCCCCACCCTTCTTTCTGCTGTCTCCCCCTCCTTCCCCGCCTACCCCGCTTCCCCGCCTTCTTATTAACACCTTCCCCGCCTACCCCTCCTCCCCCCCTTCCATCCCTTCCCCCTCCTCCCCCCTCTCCCCCCTCCCTCCTCCACCCCCCTCCTTTCTGCCACCTACCCGCGCCCTCAGCCCTTTCCCCATTCCCCCCTTCCTCCCGTTTACCCCATTCCCCCCCGTGCCGCCTACCCGCGCCATCCGGGGCTCAGCTCTTTCCGCAGCGCCGCGAATCGCCGCGTCGCGTCTAAATAGGTCTTTAACTCGCCGGGGACTATGCGGTACGTGCGCAGCTCGAAAATCGGCGGGCATCTCGGGCCGCCCGCTGCCGTCGCGACTGCTGCTGACAATGATGCTGACGATGCTGCTGCTTCTGCTGCTGCTGCTGCCATTGTATCTGCTGCTCCTGCTGATGGCGCTGCTGACGAGGACGAAGACGGTGATGACGACAGCGGCGCTTGCGTGGCAGCTTCAGATTGGCTGGCGCATCTTCTCGCGCCGTGATTCGCGGGAACTCCTATGCCGAAGTCAAAACTTCTATCAGAGACAAAGGCGGCGGGAAATACGGAAGAATCGCCGGGGAAACAGCCGACGGAAGCATTGCCGGAAAATACGGCGGGAACGGCGGCGGAGGAGGAAACGAAGGGCTGGGATGTGGAGCAACTTAAAGCCTTTCCGCCTAAGGCGGGTATTGATACATCTTGTCGTGAAGTGGCTACTATATGACCCGCTTTTGATCCACGAAACCACTCATGCGACAAGTTCTGAGTCCCTGATTGACCCGATCGCGCGAGTACTGCGGTCTCTCCTGCGCGTGCGAAAGCGCTCACTCCTTTGGCAGTAAAGCTGCTACAGTAAATGCTTCTGGATTCAGTGCTACTAATTTTAGTACATCCGTGATTGAGTGCCCTCGTCAGGGTTGCCGCGGCCTGGAAAATACTCTTCGCCATTTCGAACGCCTCGCTCGCTCGGCCTCCCGGATACGGAATCTCGGACGAGAGTCTGTTCCGTATTCGAGTTTAGAGACGTCTCAAAACTGGATTCCGAATTCCGCATTCAAACGCCTCGCTCGGCCTCCCGGATACGGAATCTCGGAACTTCAGACGAAAGCTCGAGCAGCGCGGATATTTGCGAGCACCGCGTTGCTCGGGGCTGTCTCGAACCGCGCAAATTCGCGATTATTCAACTAAGGCGGTCTCAATATCAGTTTCGTGGTAAGGGCCAGGAGGAAGAGTTTGCTTTGGTGGTTTCTTTGCGTTTTGAATCGTTTCGTTATTAAGTGGGAGCGGTTGAGTAAGGTTTTGAGCATTTCTAGGCTCAGCAGCAGATCCAGGCTGGTGGCTCCACTACAGGCAAATGATTTTGAAATAAACAGAACTACACGAGTGAGCAGGTGATCCACTCAACAATATATGGAGCTTTAGGTGAGTTATCTTGCCACAATGAGTCAACTTTTCCTTACTTTGCGTCACCCTGCATACCGTATGCAACACTGCTGCCCACGACCATTTTCCGTCACGTTACAATTTCACGACGTTCGCCTTGACGTTCGCGCCATCGCGTCCGAGCCTTACGTATCGGTTGGTAACCCATAGTCCGACCCTAAGCCACAGATATTTCCCAACCTCGGCGTTAGGACCGTAGAGCACCCCACATTTTCGCGTGTTACAGTTACCCCTAGTTTCGCTACGTAATATCTCTTATGCCTCCACTCATGTTCAATTGCTCGATAGTGCAATCTTCGTTCACTTACTCAATCGACCTTATAACACTTTGTATCCAAAGCCACTTTATTTGCGGTCCGCATACGCTTCGCTTCCACTCCAGTTCATACTTTTGGACGTTCTTCAATGCCCAGTACCGCTGTTAGCGGGCTCTCTCGCAAGCACTCACGGCAACGACTGAGTTTGCCACCTAGTTTTTGCCCGACACCTCTCTCCATGGCTGGACGTATCTAGCCCGAAGAACTGACCCAGGAGCGCCCCGACATGTTAACTCGCTAGCTGCACGAACACGCTCTCGAAATCGCGACATTGACAGCCAAAGCGAATCAATCCAACATTCGACGGTGCAAGCTCTGCATGCAACACTATCAGAAGTAGAACAGCGCAAGGCTCGCAGACATGCGCAAGGCAACCCCAGACACGAAACGCAAGGGGAACCGATCCAGAGACGGGTCCGTGAAACGTGTGGGCGCGAAACACAAGGCCACCGGTTCAGCTGATGCGCGGCGTAACGGACCACAAAGGCCCACAGAAAATGAGGTGCACAGGCATGGACCATCGAGGTATGGGCGATCTCCGTGACCAAGCCTATGCGGTGCTCACCAACCCCATTCTGCTGTGGTGAGTCTGGGAGCGTGTAGGACTGGGTGATGCCATGTTTGCGACAGAACTCATCAAGTCGGCCAGAGCGAAACTCAACTCCAGGTCGAAGTGTAGACGAAGCACAAGCAGGCTGCGCTGGACGCGTGTGACCACTATTCACGGGATCAGAGCACCAGGCACGTCGGCCTTCCGCTCCAGGGGAAACACCGTGGTGTAGCGTGAGAAGTCATCCACAACCACGAGGAAGTAGCTCTCCAAGTGTGACCGAGAGACCGGGACAGGGCCCCAGACGTCCATGCGCGAAGTCCGAAGAGGTGGCATGGCTCAAGTGAGGAGGAATGAGGGGCGACGCGCTGCTGACCCTCGACGCGAAAGTGCACGGCGGAGCAGGCGACGGAAGGAGCGGAGGAAGCGACAACAAGACCGTGCCTAGCCATGTGAAGGAGACGTGTTGGTGCAGGTTGACCTAGACGATGGTGCCACAGGAGGGAGGGTTGGTTGAATGACCGACAGGAGCACGACACAACAACCTGACCTGACGCAAGTACCTGGGGGGACGCGGTAAAACGTGGCCAGACGTGATGAAGGCTTGCGGGAAAACGTGGACAGACGTGCCCCGGTGGTAGCGCCCGTACAGGTCGCAAACCTCTTGTGTGCAGGAAAGCGATTGTGATCCCATGGTCCTGAAGGTGTCCAACACCCACCATGTCCTTGGAGAACGAGAGGATGTGGAGACCTGTGAGGGAACAGGAGGGGCAATCTAGACATGGAGGCGAGGTAATACTGCAAGCGACGGCTGGTCCAGGCGTGGAATCAGCCAAAGCAATTGCAACTGGGGTGGGAAGCGGCGTGACCGTGGTGCAGTCACGAAAGAAGCACAGGGATGCGCCGGAGTCGAGCATAAAGGAGAGTGACACGGCAGCAGAAGTCACACCTGAGCTAGCAACAATGCAAGCACCTACACTAGAAACAGGCAAAGATCCTAGTCTAAGTACACGCGAGTAAAAGGATCAAGCAGTACTATAGTCAATAACACATCGCAGAATAGACATCATCCATGGTCATAACAAACAACTAGTAACCACGGCTCAACAAAGCGGGCCTGTGCAGAGGGATCCCCTGAGGCCCTAAACGGTCGCGAAAGAGGACGTCGAGGAGACTGAAGCAGCGCAGAGCAGAGTGGTCGAGGCGCCCACACGTAGTGCATGTACCCGTACCAGTCAGGATCCGGTACTTGCAGGGGCCAACGTCGCGGCCACCGCGACATGCCCCCTAGCTGCCAGGGCCACTGCTACGGCCGACGCTCCCCGGACCACCAGGTCCCCATTGCTACTGAAGGCACCACTTCTGAAACTGCTCCTGCACCTGCTGCTGCTGGTTGGGTCGCTGCTGCTGCCTCCTCCAGCCTTCCAGACCTTCTCCCCTACCCCGAAGATGACCACTCTTCGGGTGCTGCTGCACGTCGCCGCTCAACGTGACTACGAGCTTCACTCTCTTGACTTCAGCACAGCTATCTTACAGGGCAGCCTGCACGAGGAGATCTGGCTGCGCCGCCCACCTGGCTTCACTGGGTCGTTTCCTGCAGGTACCCAGTGGAGCCTCCGGCGGCCATTCTATGGTCTCCGCCAGGCGCCTCGCGAGTGGCACGACACACTGAGGACGACTCTTGCGGCTCTTGGGCTTGCTCCTTCGACTGCTGACCCGTAGCTGTTTCTACGCACCGACACTTTGTTGCCGCCGTTCTACATCCTCGTGTACGTCGACGACTTGGTCTTTGCCACTGCTGACACTGAGGGACTGGCCCTAGTGAAGTCGGAGCTGCAGAAGAGACACACGTGCACAGACCTGGGTGAGCTGCGCAGCTATCTTGGCTTGCAGATCACCCGGGACAGAGCACGGCGCATCATTACCTTGACTCAGTCACACATGGTGCAGCAGGTCCTTCAGCGCTTCCGCTTCCAGTACTCCTCGCCACAGTCTACTCCTCTGCCTACCGATCACTCGCTCTCTGCTCCACCTTCGGACGAGTCCGTAGAGCCGAGTGGCCCGTATCCAGAGCTTGTGGGCTGCCTCATGTACCTGATGACCTGCACTCGACCTGACCTTGCCTACCCTCTTAGCATCCTGGCACGCTACGTTGCGCCCGGGAGACACCGACCAGAGCACTGGGAGGCCGCTAAGAGGGTGTTGCGCTACTTGTGCAGTACGTCGGGCATGGGGCTCATGCTTGGAGGACGGGGTCGAGTTGTCCTCACTGGACACGCAGGCGCTTCTTGGGTTGACGACTTGGCTATGCATCGGTCGTCACAGGGTTACACTTTCATCCTAGGCTCCGGCTCTGTTTCTTGGCGGTCTACCCGCTCGTCTTCTGTTCTCAGTTCCAGTTGTGAGGCTGAGATCTACGCAGGGGCCATGGCTGCATAGGAGTTACGCTGGCTCACCTACCTGCTGACCGACTTGGGAGATCCGCCTCGTTCTCCTCTAGTTTTGTACGTCGACAACAAGGCCGTGATTGCCTTGTGTCAGGAGCACAGGCTGGAGCACAGGACGAAGCACATCGCTCTGCGTTACTTCCTTGCTCGAGAGTTGCAGCAGCGTGGTCAGCTTTGTCTTGCTTACGTGGCCTCTCGGGCCAACACTGCTGATAAATTCACCAAGGCACTCCAGCCTTGTGATCATCAGCGTTTCTATACGGTTTTAGGCCTTGTGCCTACTTGGTCTCACTTGCTCACTTCTTGACTTTGCTTGTACTGTGATTTATATACATATACCTGCATGCTTATACTTGCTAGGTTGTGAACACTGTACTGCTTGTTCTCCATTATATAACTCTGCATGTGAACTGGCCTTGTGGCCATTTGCTTGTGCTCAGAG